TTATATCCTACATTTATTATTTTTGTAAATAAGTCAAGGTAGCGAACATACCTAATATGCCTTCCTCCCCCTATTTTCAGCACAACAACAACCCTGAGAAAAATGAAGGGGCCCAAAGTCACCCAAAGTCACAACTTTTCATGCTAAAGGCAGGGCTAGAACTCTCAGCATCTTTTATCGCAGCATCAAAATGGCTCTAATGGTGATCCCAATACAGAACAAGTATCCTACTGATCTGCCCCTTCCTTCTTTTCTACTCATGAACCGCAATCATTTACATTTCACCATCCTGCTCTCAAGGGTTTATTTTATTAACATTCCCCACTCATTAGTTCTACGTTTAATTCGGCAACCCAAAACCCTTCACCCTAATAGTGGATGAAAGAGAATCTCTATGTTGGCTGGAACTGAACACACCAAACCATCAGAGCATCCAGAATTCCTTATGGCATCTGTGTCCTTTTTAACTAGGTAAATAAGCACTTTGTGCACTTGACAGAGGTTTTAAAAAAAGGAACATTCCACTCCTAAAGGGCTAGTATTGTTTCAGTGGTCCCTGAGCCCTTCTGGATGCCCACCGAATCCCACCCCAGCTGCTCTGCACCAATCTCAGAAGCCAAACATCTTGGATCATTGACAAGCCTGGGAAGTTTGGGAATTCATAGTTATGAATAAAACTATTTTACCGTCCAAATGACTTTTCTTTACAAGAATGATACCAATAGCAATAGAGTTAGATTATATATCACTTCATAGTGCTTTATAGCACTAGCTTAGGAGTTTACAATGTCAGCATATTGCCCCCCCACCCCGCCTTCCAACAATCTGGGTCCTTATTTTACTGACCTAGGAAGTATGGAAGGTTGCGTCAACCTTGTGCTGGTAAGAATCAAACTGCTGGCAGTCGGCAGAATTAGCCTGCAATATTGCATTGTAACCCCCTACACCACCATGGCTCTTGATATCTGAGTAATGGCTATATTAAGTGCAGGCTGAGAGAATTTTACCCATATGCCTCAAGAGGGGTATGATCTGAAAAATTACTTGTTTTATTTGTTTTATACATTTTAAATTGTATTTCTGTGTAAGTGAAATCCACTTTCATCTTGCTGAAATACTAGTACATTAGAGTAGGTCTTTCAGTAATATAGTCAAGGCATCCATGGGTGGAGTTGTGGCCCAAAATTAAGATGGCCATCGCAACCATGTGATTGAAGCCTGCCCCTTTTTATTTCTGTGGCCATGTCACATAAAAGATCTCAAATCTTCAATCACATGATTGTGTCCATGACCATGACTTTATTTAACCCTTCCCCCCAGAGGTGGGTTGCTCCCAGTTGGGCCCAGTTCAGTCGAACCAGTAGTGGCATTTTTGCCTGGGTCACAGAACCGGCAGAGACCCAGGCTCACCACGCCCCCAAACTGGTTCCCTTGCTACCGCTGATGTTGCCACCATGTTGTTTTGTAGTGACTGAGCATGCGCAGTGTCCTCCCCCCCCCCATAGACCACCCAAGTAATGTCAAGTTGATGTTTTAAACTGATATGAATTATATTACAAAGTGAATTGATAGTCAATGGCATTTTTCTTATGCCCATTTCCATAAGTTCTGCAGTTAAATTTAAATCAGAAATTAGCTGGAAGATATTACTTGTTGGCCGTAATTCAGCACACTAGCAAAATTAATTAATCCCAAGATAATATACCATGTCCCCCACCTCCTCCCACATCAACGAACCAATATTCTTTTCTTCATCCTACCCCACAGGACAAGCAGCACTGTGGCACAATATATCGTCAACTTTGAAAGAGATGGTTCAGAATTACCTGCGGATGGTACTGACATCAAAAAAATTGAAAGCGAGAAGGGCACTCTTGGTGAAGAGAAGGAAACACCTACATTTGTACCGAAACTAGCAGATCTTCAGCAGATGGTTGCCATGCTCCTACAAGAAGATAAATCATTATTCGTGGACTTTGAAACACTCCAGTTTAAGGATGGTCAGTAAGTTACAAATGCTTACTGCAAATTAATGAATTAATTAACGTTTCCCTGACCTCCTCAAAGTAATTGGATAGTCCCCTGCCTTATAGATGCTTTGTATTTTCTTCCTTGGAAAAATGGGGAGATATCAGGAAGTTGTGGGCTGCTTTTCTGTGATATATCATAGTTGATAATTAGCTTCCTTCCTGTCTTTTCCTGAATCATTCCATCTCACTATTTTGCATGTATTCTGATTTTGAGGGCAAGCTTTGTTTCCCTCCTCCCCAGACAAGTCCAAGGGAATTTAGCTACTGAATATTGTTCCTTCTCAGTGGTGGGTTTCAAATTTTTTAGAACCTCTTCTGTAGGTGTGGCCTGCTTTATGGGAGTGGCTTGCTGGTCATGTGACCGGGTGGGAGTGGCTTGCCAGTCATGTGACTAGGTGGGAGTGTCCTGCCAGCCATGTGACTGGGTGGGTGTGGCCAACTTGTAAAATGTGGTGAAACTCACTTAACAATGCTTTTGCTTAGCAACCAAAATGTTGGCTCAGGAACTCTGGCATTGAAGCGTGCAAGTCTTAAAGCTGTCAAGTTATAAGACCCTTGCACCCCTAACCCTTTAGAAAAAAACCCAGGGGTGTTCAAACTTGACAGCTTTAAGACTTGTGGACTTAGATAGGACTCTTAGAGGCGGGCGTGAGCTAGCCAATTAGTGAGCGGTGGGCGGGGCAAGCGTGGTGCGGACGGACGGGGGGAGGGAGCTGGAACCGGTTCTAAATGGCACGGTAGATTTGTGGAACCTCTTCTATAGAAGAGGTTAGAACTGGCAGGAACCCACCCCTGCTTCTTCTTCTTGTTCTCCTCCATTAGGATGACTTACAATTAATTTATTAAGAAGCCTATTTTGGTGGGTAATAAAAAGAAAAGAGTGGCGAATTAGAAATTAAAATTATGTCAGCAAGACGATCGCATTTGCTTGACTTGTTATGAGACATGAAATCCTTTTATCTCTTACTCTCCGGGAAGTGCTCTTTCTCCCAGCTAGTTAATTTTATAAGCATTCTATATAGTTGCAGTCTCTTTGTGGTGCCTGCAAAAGAGTTGGTATGGGCCACAAGGAGTATATCTCCGATACCAAGCTGGCCTTTCTGTTTGTAGCTCAGAGGGAGGGGAAGGAAATACATGGAACCAGCTCTTTCTAAATTATGCAGGCCTTAAAAGGTCAAATTCCACATTCTGAATTAGGCTTGGAAGCAAATACAGACGCACAGAAGCCAAGCCAAGCCTGAGATTATATGCTTCCCAGCCTCCTCTTGCCAGAGGTTGGATTCTGTATTTGCGTTAGTGGAAGCTTCTGATGACCTTCAGAACCAGCCCAAGATAAAGTGCATTTCAGTCATTGAAGCAGGAGATTATTGAGTAAGGCCAAGACCTTATCTGAAATGGGATGCAGGGAGTTCACTAGCCTTTAATGTAAAAGGCAGTCTTTGTGTCCGCTGTCGATAGAAAATGCCACAAGACAGCAGGGTCAAAAGCCCAAGTCTGCCTCAATGGTTTTCATGCGGTAGTTAATTTTCAGATAACAAAAGTATTTAGTATAAATGCTAGTGTAGAACAGATTTGAGGTGTTTATTTTAATTGCTAAGCATTTAGTAACATTAGTGGCATTCAGCTGGATGGAACGTATATTAAAATACAAATAGGAAGCAGATCAAGGAAGCAGATGGCAAGGATTGACCAAATTTAATTTATATAATTTTAATAGTTTAGTTTAGTTTTATTAAACTTGTATGCCGCCCTATTCCCCGAGGGGACTCAGGGCGGCTAACAAAACCAAATAGGGAAAGGGGGAGTACAAA